CATTCCTTCCGTCGCTGCCGGCACGCAATTATTTCTGAAGAAGAACCTAGGCCCGAAACGTCAGTTTTGCTGCTTGGCCTGCTGTGTTCACCCAGCTCTACACCTTGTTATCTCAGATTCTGCAGTTCCGACCATCTCTGATACAATCCACAATTTAGCTGTGCGCATGCTCTATAGCTACACGCCGGTTTGATGACGTCACACGACCAATAGCAAGGAAGGGGCGGGACTGGAGGATGGCAGCGGAACTGCTTGTCCTCCAATCGTTTGAGGACGAGGGGCGGGCTGCCAGAACATCCTCGAACGGAAGGAGGGGCGGTGTTATCCTTCCAACCAATCGGGGAGACACAGTGACGGGACTGGAATTCGAACCTCCTTCGGAACGTGTGACGGGCGGGGTTAGTGCTCCAACCAATCAGTACACGGGAAGGCGGGTCTAACAACGTGACCAGAGCATGCGCCGTCGGCGTGATGGAGCCACAATGTTGTTTTCTGGATTGAAGGGAGGTCTGTTGTCTGTCCGTTCTTTTTACAGCGCATTCAATGGGAAGGATTCCCAAATCATCAATTCCAACCAGATATCACAGCAAGGTCTAACAGAGTCACTCTTTTCAGCAGCATCTCACTGTCGTCGGTCTTTCACCGTGCAAGGTAAAATGTTTGTCTGTGGGAAAAGATTTCTGAGATCAGTTTCACTGGATAGGTTCCGAGAAATTCAAAATCGTGTGCAGTGCACCCCCGGAGGATGTGTGTGGGCACCACAATTTAGGAAGGAGAGTCTGGACCTTCCTCGGGTTCTGCGCAGGTTTACTCCAATGATTCAGAGACTGAAGTGTTCTTATTATGAGCAACGGTTGCAGGAATCAGTTTTAAATTCATTATAACACAGAAACGAATAATTTAGCCTATTTCATCAATCTGCCAGTCCTGAGCTCATTGATCCGATTGATCAAAATCTCTTTGTAATCAAGAAAGCTAATAAGCTGTATCCTTTATTATTACAGGAATTGAACATAAATGTAAAGATATTTGCTTAATTTGTAAAGAGAATAGGTGAGACCACGTCTTGAATAAAGTGGTGTAGAGCTGGAGGAACACAGCAGGCCAGGTAGCATCAGAGGAGCAGGAAAGTTGATGATTCGGGTCTGAAGAAGGGTCCCAACCCGAAACATCAACTTTTCTGCTCCTCTGCTGCCTGGCATGCTGTGTTCCTCCAGCTCCACATTTTGTTATCTCTGACTCCAGCATCTGCAGTACTTGCTATCTCTCTTGAATAAAGTGTTCAGGTTTTGGCCATCTTCTGCAAATTTATTGGAGGTGTTTCAGAGGAAGATTTGAGATTAATACCTGGAATCAATGAGTTGTCCAAGCAGGATAGGCTGGGCAGGCAAACAGGTGAAGGAGGTGGGTTAGAACTGCTGATTAAGACAGGCAAGTAATGTGATTGTAAGCAAGGATATAGGCTGTGGTGAAGTAGAACATATATGAAACAAAAAAACAGAAATTGCTGGATAAGCTCAGCCGGTCTGACAGCATCTGTGGAGAGAAATCAGAGTTAAAGTTTCAGATTGAGAGACCCTTCCTCAGAATGGAAATGTAAACTCCTATTTCTCTCCACAGATGCTGCCAGCAGACCTGCTGAGCTTATACAGCAATTTCTGTTTTTGTTTCTGATTTACAGCATCTGCTGTTTTTGCTTTGGTTTTGTAGAGTGTTAGTTGAGCTTAGAAACATTAATGGTTGGTAAATGAGAGTAAGGTTGTACATAGACTCAAAAATACAGGAGCACAATTGGGAAAGGTATTAGAATGGAACGTAGAGATGCAAGTAATAAAGTTAGGGCCGTAAATATGGGTGACTTTAATCTATATATAAATTGACCAAATCAAATTAGTAGCAATACGATACAGGAGGCATTCTTAGCACGTATATGGAACAGTTTTATGAATTAATACAACGAGGAAGCAACCGGGTATTGAGTAATGAGAAAGGAATTTCATGATGGTGGCTTAGTAGTTAGCACTGTTGCTTCACAGCGCCAGGAACCTAGGTTCAATTCCACCCTTAGACGACTGTCTGTGCGGAGTTTGCACATTCTCCACATGTCTGCATGGGTTTCCTCCGGGCACTCCGGTTTCCTCCCACAATCCAAAGGCTAAGTAGATTGGCCATGCTAAATTGCCCATATTGTTCAGCGAGGTGTAGATGAGGGAGATGGGTCTGGATGGGATGTTCTGAGAGTCGGTTTGGACTTGTTGGGCGAAAGGGCCTGCTTCCACACTGTATGGAATTTTATGGTCTATGAATAATTGATAATAAAGTTGAGCATCGGCACTTCATCCACCTCATTAAGGTGGAGAGTGATGTCATTCTTTCTGAGACTATAGTCCTGTCATTAAATAAAGAAAATTAGAGTGATGTGAGGTGTGAGCTAACTGTGATAAATCATGGATCATTATTGAAATGGGTTTTGAGAGATTGTCCATGCACTCTTTAAATGTTTGCCATGATCTATGTACAAAAGTTGTTCATCCCAGTCTGGCATAAGAACAATACAGGAAACATGGTGAAACCATGTCAAAAAAGGGAAATGATGGCTAGTATTAAATTTGTCAAATAAATCACCACATTGGTAACAGTTTAGAATTTAACAAAGGGATTGATTAAATGGCAGAAAATAGAGTATGAGAGTATGCTTGCAAAGACCATACAAATCAATGGTTTTCTTTTGTTACAGACATTGCTGTCTAAGCCAGAATATACTGCCCATCTATGATTGCTAAGGGGGCTGTCAAGAGTCAACTGCATTGTTGTTGGGTTGGAGTCACATGTAGGCCAGACCAGGTAAGGATGACAGTTTCTTTCCCGCAAAGGACATTAGTGAACCAGCTGGGATTTTTCTGACAATCAATGCTTTCATGATCATCATTAAACTCTTAATTCAAGATTGATAGTAAAACGTTAATAAAGATGAACACAGGTTCTCCTACAATTGGAAACAGAGGAATTAAAAAATGGAGTACAAAGTGATGGTAGACCAACAAAATACATCTTCTTCAACAACAACAACAGAAACAAAGTTGCTAGAAAGGCTCAGCAAGTCTGGCAGCATCTGTGAAGGGAAAAACAGAGTTAACGTTTCGGGTCAAGTGACGCTTTCTCAGAACTGATAGTGGCTGGGAAAACGTCAGTTTATGTGGAGAAAATAGGGAGGTGGGTAGGGTAGGGAGTAAACGATAGGATAGAACCCAAAGAGAGAGAAAGACAGTTGGATAGACGAAGGAGTTGCTAACAATCAGGCTGGTAGGGTGAATAGTTGTTAATGGGGACTGTTAGTGCAGTTCTTTCAGTTTTTATTTAAAATACATCTTCATATCTTCAAAAAGGAGAACACAAATAACATCCCCAAAATAAGGGGAAATCACAGTGTCTAATGGGAAGGTAGAATTGAAAGAAATTAGTATTGGTAGGAAAATAATATTGGGTAAAATAATGGGATTAATGCAGATGAATCCCCAGAAATTGATAACCTTCATCCCAGAGTACCTCAGGAAGTGGTCTAAGAAATAGCAGGTCCACTAGTGATTATCTTCCAAAACTGTACAGACTCTGAAAGAGTTCCTGTAGATTTGAGCATAGCTAACATAACCCCAATATTTAAGAAGGAAGCAGAGAGAAAATAGGGAATTTGCATGATGCTGGTTATGGGAAAAATGCTAAAGTCCACTCTAAAAGGTGTATTAATAAAGTACTTGGAGGATAGTAATCTGTGCTGTAGATCTTTGAGACTCTTTGTTGGGCATGAATTCCCTCTAAGCCACTCGCTGTCCTGACTTGGAAATATATCACTGTTCCTTCACTATTGTTGGATCGAAATCCTGAAATCCCTCGCTGACAACATTGCGAGTCAACTTACACCCTGTGGACTGCAGTGGTTCAAGAAGGCAGGTCACCATCTTCATAAAGGTCACTGGAACCAGCCAGTGATGCCGGCATTTCATGATCAAATTTTGAAAAAAGACATTTTCAAATTGAAGCCTATGTAGATCAGCTGTGACCTTTTTGAGGCTGGAGGAGCCAAATGGACTACTTCAGCTCCAATTTCAAATGTTCTCTGCCCTTTTACCAAAATGCATCATCTCACCAGGAATGTTGTATTTCCTACAATTTAGAAGATTGAGGCATGATTTGATTAAAATTTAAGATGTTAATGAAGTTGGTCAGGGGAATGGAGAGGAGCTATTTCCACTGGGTGGGTGAAGTGGGAACTCAAACAACTTCCTCCCCTGCAGGAATTAGATAAGACTTGAGTTTCTTTGCTCACTGGTTTATTCAAATATATGTCTGAGGAACAAGAGTAGGCGAACCGGCCCTTTGAGCCTGCTCTCCCACTCAATAGGATTGTGGCTGAACTGGGTTCAACCTCACCTCTATGTGCCTGCGTATCCCCAACAATCATTCATCATCTTGGTCACGAATAATCTATCTGCTTCCGCCTTAAAAATATTTAAAGATTCTGCATCTACTGCCTTTTGAGGAAGTGAATTCCAAATACTATTAATCCTCTGAGTGAGAAGAAATATTTCCTTGTTACTCTTTTCAATGGGCTCTCCCTTATTTTTAAACTATGACCCCTACTTCTAGATTCTCCCTCAAGAGGAAACATTTCTTTCAGCATCCGGCTGGTCAGGTTCCCTCAGGATCTTTTATGGTTTAATTTAGTCTCCTCTTTCTCTTCTAAACTCCAGAGGATACAGGCCGGTCTAGCCTTTCCTCATAAGGCAATCCTCTCACTCCAGGCATTCGTCCTTAACCTTCCCTGAACTGCTTCCAATGTATTGACACATGTCCATAAGTATGCCAACCAGTACTGTACACAGTCCTCCAGATGCAGTCTCAACAGTATGCTCGGGGTATTGCTCATACCTAAAGGTGGTACATGAATTCCCACTTGCTTACGATAATGCTTTTCAGCAAGCCTAGGTCATTTCCATATCCAGTTACTGGCACAGATTATGGTCAGCCAGTTGTACACTTTCTCTTGTTACATAGACATCATTGTTGTGGCATCACTCGAACGTCCCACTCTGCTGGCTCTGCAGAAATAACCACCGACTGCAGCCTGTTCCCACAGCCTGGTTTGTGTTTTATTTCTCAACTTCTGCATTGTCAGCTAATGATCCAGGTAGGTTTTCATGGCAATCGAGTGGATTTCATTTTACTTCTTCCTGTTTTCTATTTATCTTACAGGCAATTAGACAGTAAGTTCAAATCAAATGTGAGATCAAGAGCTGCCAGCAATGCTCGATTCTCAGGACCTGAGTATCACCAGCCTTGGAACATGGAAGGAAAAAGCATCGTTCACAGTGAAGAGAAACTGTACAGGTGGTCTGTGTATGGACAAGGTTTCAGTCAATCGTCTGGACTGTCAATATGTAAATGCAATCACAATAAGGAAACAACAATTGTGCTAAGCAGCACTTGCTTTGCAATATCATGCTCATGAATCTCAGTTTCAGTTAAGCAAGATTCACTCAACTCCGGATCTCTTTACATTCTTGGTGCAAACGTGGACCTAACAGCTAAATTCCAGAGCTGAGAGTGACTATCCTCTACATTAAGGCTCCATCTGACAGACTAGTTTATCAATGAATCATAAAGCTAGAGTCAATGGGCGTCAGAAAATATTATTCGTTCGCAATATGGGGTTTTTACAAATAGAGTCTTCAGACCTGAGTAGATCATAAGAATATGACTTTATTCAAGCTCGTACGATATTTCTGTGGAAGAGGTCTGTAAGTCTTGCTTGGAGACACTCAGCCATTTTCAGCTGAAACCAGCATATTAATACATTTTTGTGTCACCTTCAGTATTGATATAAAATAAGAGGTAACACAGTGTGGAGCTGGATGAGCACAGCAAGCCAGGCAGCATCAGAGGAGTAGGAAAGTTGACGTTTCGGGTTGGGACCCTTCAGAACATTTCTGAAGAAAGGTCCTGACCTGAAACGTCAACTTTCCTGCTCCTCTGATGCTGCCTGGCCTGCTGTGCTCCTCCAGCTCCACACTGTGTTATCTCCGACTCCAGCAGCGGCAGTTCTTACTAACTCTTGGTATAAAATAAACACTTTTTGCAGTAAATGATTGAGATTAACAAGATACTGTTCTCTCATTTCAAAAGGAATTACACTTCTGTATAATCTTCAGAGCTTACCTGTCCCCACTACTTGCTCTCAGTACATGCCTTCCCTTTTGGAGTAACACTTCTGTGACTATCTTAAATTATACAGATGATCTCTGAAGCCTAAGTGACTGCTGACTGTTCACTGTTATGGATATACCGTTAAACTACCTGAGCTACAATAATAATGTCCTTTATTTGGATGTATTTCATTCAGTCCTACTCTGTATTACTCATCCAAGCTTATTTACTCCTGTGTGGCATATAATACAGTGTTTCTCTCTACTACTTACACATGAAAATGTTTGACCTAGTCCTTCTGCTCTTTTTTTTGCTTATTTGGATTTTTCTCCAAACATTCGCTCTGCCTTCATTCAGACTCTGGCTGTAACAGGTGATTAGTCCTCCCTATTCAAACCTAGTGCATTGTTGAGAGTTGTGGACTGTCAAACTGTGCATGGTGTTTCTGCCCAGAACAACCTGGATCTTGATGAATCCAATGTGGGCATTGGAACAGGATCTACCCACAGGAACAGCTGATCCATTTTGTTTGTACGAGCCAGATTCATGAACTGCAGAGGTAGTAGGCTTTGCTGCAGTGCTATTGGTACTG